AAGAGGCAACACAGTCCACAGGGGGAGCGTGGGAAGAGTAAGAGGTTCAGGTTCACTCCCTAGAATCTCCCAGGGTATATCCTCTAGTTGCTGTAGTATAGATTTAGTTTGGCAAGATTCTGTCTGTAAGCTGTAAGCAAATGAAGGAACTACACTTGACTGGACTGTTTCACCATCGTTCTTGAGCTGGGCCTGACACAAGGTTTAAGTAAGACATTTACTTGCAAAGTTTGTCAACCCTTTATGGACTTTTTGCTGACACCAGGATGGAAAAGTTGATGTTTTATGGATTTGCTTATAGATAAGAGATGGGGTATGGGAAGAAGAGATATCTGTTTGTAACCTCATAGGGGGTGAAGAGTTACTAAATTTGTCTATACAATACCTGTTGTAATGAAGGTTGGAAGCCATTTCTTTATATATTTTCTTTTCTTTTTCTTTATTACAGTCTTTCTTTTCTCTTTTTCTTTCTTCATGCCCTTTTTATTCTTTCTTACTATTTTTTCTTTCTTTAAGTTTAGTTTGGTTTCATTTTTACTATTGTAATCAAAATCCTTAATAAAATAAAATCCTTAATAAAAAGTGAAAATCGAAGGTCTTCTTTTTTTCTTTTTCTTTTTTAACCACATAAAATTGGCAAGAGGTCTGCCACTTTCCCTTTTCAGCCCAAATGACGGGAAGAACATGGCTTTTTTCCTTTTCTGTCCTCAAGTGGCTGCCCCTGTTTGGGAAGATGTCAAGTATAAGGCTTAATCATGGATGGTTTATCAAGGGAAACCACAGGTCCTCCCGCCCATGAGAAGGAAAGCAGTTGGTGGTTGCTACTCCAGCAGTGGTGGGAGAGGTAAACAAGCAGGGGAATCACTATCACCAGGGCTAAACTGGGGAATTGAAATCTGGAAAGGGGTTTTTAAAGCAGGTTTCACTCCCAGCTGGTTTACGCATGAGAGTCCAGCAGCTTAAGGTTGCAGTGCAGAAAAGCTGTTAACTGGCTTCCTGAATTAATTCATTTTCTGTGCTCACACCATATGCTGAATCACAATTTAATCAAAAGACTGGGTTCACATAACATGCTAAGCTACAAGAGAAAATGTTCCAAAGGCTGCCAAAGTCAACAGCAGCATGACAGCCTTAATAGCACTGTTAATCAACTGTTTGCTGATCAGCTGGCTTGTGGCAGGGGCTCCAGCATGGAGACGGAAGTCATGGCAGAACTGGAGCTGACAATGCCCAGTATCTTGCCAGTGGCTAATGTAATGGGGTGGCAACTGACCCAGCTTGATGTCATTTTTGGAGACTGGTGGCAATGGAGGACTGGTGGAACAGAGCCCTTGGTGCGATGGAGAGCTTGAATTTTGTCTAGTTCTTGTTTCCTTGATCTTGCCCGGCTAAGTGGGGCTTGCCACTTGAACATTGGCAGGGTTTCCTTGTTAAGCTAAGTCATGATTTGTTTATGTCCCTTGGAAGTGGCGGCTCTTGGCACACCATTCAGATGTCAAGAGATGCCCTCACTTAGAGGAGATCATTAGAGATACAGCAGCCAAAACTGTCCCTGAAATAATATTTTACTACTACAGATAATGTGGAAATAGATGATTTTTTGAAGGAATCTTTGCATTCAAATTTGAGCTAGTTTTATCAAGGAACTCTTGGAACTGTGGCTTAGTCAGAGAATAAACCTTTCTTCACAGAACTACTCTTCACATGAAGGTTATATAGTATAGACCCCTCCCAATTATGTATTTATTTGTCAGGCTTTTATGTTTGAGAGCACAATATATTTAGCCCAAGTGAAACAAAACTACAATAAATAATAGCCATACCCTAACTAATCAATTAACCAACAAAGTCTCATTACAGATGGTGCACTGTGCACCATCCAGAAGAGCTAGGTCTTCACGACCTTCACAAGGCCATCGCTGAGGGGCCAGTCTGCCTTCTGAAGAGGTGCCGTGATGAAAAAAATAATATTTTCTAGCTTCAACCCCCCCCAACTCACAAAACATGGGGATCGCAAGCAGCTTCTCATGGGAAGATCTCTTCTGATGGGTTGATCTCTACTGAGAAGATCTTTACTCTCAGCTGGAATAGGCAATCCTAAACTTAGCTAGGTGCCAGGCCATGTAGTGCCTTATGCTGATTTTCTAATGGTAATTCTTCTTCTTGTCTTTATCTTTCAGAGGCAGCTTTGACCATTACAATCCCTGAAGACACAGTTCAAGCCAAACCAGGCTCTGATGTCCTTCTGCCTTGTTATGTTGAGGAGTCTTCTGGGCATCTAAACCTCGAACGGCTGACAGTGATATGGCGTGTGGACTCTGAAACTATTGCTAAGTATGAAGATACGTTAGAAGCCAATCGCCAGGGGGCGAAGATGACTCGTGAAGAACTGCAAAAGGGCAATGCCAGCCTTCTGCTTCCAAATGTACAGGACACAGATAGCAAGACTTATACTTGCTTTGTTATCCACAGGCCTGACAGTGAAAAGAGGGAAGTGAATTTGAAAGTGGAAGGTAAGGTCAACCAAGGAAAAGTGAATGAGGGTCACATCTTAACTTCAAACCTATTTAAAGCATGATTACAACACAGCTTAAAAGCCTTGATCTAGACCACAATTTTGAATGTGATTGTTTCAGTGGGGGAACTAGAGGTCACTGATTATTAATGATGCTAAGACTGACACAAGGTTATATTTAGTAGCATTTACAGCGCCGGTGGTTTTTGCCTGAAGACATTTTCAGTTGCCTCAAGGCTGCACAGATTTCTCTCAGGGCACATCCAGATGTCAAGCTGAACATGCTTTCCTGCAATTTATGAGAGCCACAAAGTGCATGATATTTCCTGTTCCTACAGTTGAGTTCTGCTCTGCCATTTATGAGGCTGATGCTGTCCTAAGAGTTTATTACAGAGTAAGTTAAGATGCAGGGATTGGTAGACTTCCTTGTTGGCAGGAAAAGCATCCACTGGTCAGACTCCCTCACTTAGAAGGGAGATTGAGGGCTGAGGGGGAGGTGAGCGTTCATAGTTGACGAAGGCTGCAGGCTTAGCCTTTGTCAGAACCTGATATACAGGGTATGTGGGGAGTTTGTACTCCTGCTTTACCAGGAAGATGCTATCTACCCCTAGGTTACTTGCAGTGCTTGATTCACAGGAATGGGATGATAGGGATCCACCCCAGTGGATCAGGCCTGTTAAAGAAGTACAGGCCTGTCAGCAGGAGATATCTATTGATAGGTCACATAGGGCAGTAGGTCTTTCCCTTCAGCCAGCACCACTCCTTCCGTGTGCTCTATTGACAGCTGGCAACAAGCTGGGTGGGAATGGGTGGGGTCTGCAAGCAGCAGAAGGGGCTGCCTGAACCGGGAGGAATATCCTGCTTCAGCCAACAGCCCCCTTGCTATCTATCAACCCACCTCGCATGTCGGCAGCTGTCGCGGTTTGTTGGAGGGTGGGAACCAATAGGAACAAAACCAGACACGTGCACACACCAACAAGTGAATAGAGCACTGTTTGTCAGGATCTACGCAAACCAGAACCTTCAATTGTTTTTACTTTGCTTTTATTGCTAACC